TCCTATGTTCCCATAAAGATTTCCAGTGAAAAGTGAAAGTCATTTCCACTCATCTTTACCACAAGTCATAGTCTAATGGGAGATTTTGAAACCTTAATTGTCTGCTGACATTCCTTTCAAGAGAGTACTTCAAAAGTGAAAGGTTCAGCACATAAAATATTTGTATACTTATGCATAAAAATCTTTTTTTAATGCTCTGGATCAGTAGTGAAGCCTCATTCATCAGTCATTATTCAAATTGGAGTGATGTCTGCCTGAGCGCATTTCAGCCAGCAGAATGAAATTGAAGATACTAAAGAGTAAAGTTTACACTTAAGCTAGCTTAACTAAGAACATACCCATGAGTACATCAAAGGGAAATAACTGGATAGTATCAATGAAAAACTTGAAACTTGAAAACACTGTAGACTGAGCAACAGTAAAACCTGCACATGCAAATAGGGTGTGATTTTCTGCCCTGCTGGCTGAGATATCAACTTATTCCTTCTATGCAGATATCATAGTCTACTAAGTAGTAAAGGTTTGCACCTGTACCTTGCTGTGGGCCAAAGAACCTCATTATTAACCAGACATGCCAAATGCAGTCTTAAGAATGTGTTCTCCCACCTCCATCCCTGGAGTTATAAAGTGAGGCTTGTGAATGGAGATTTGTGTGTGCGTGTGTGTGTGTGTGTGTGTGTGTGTGTGTGTGTGTGTGTGCAAGTGCAATTTTTTCAGTGCTGGTAATGGAACCCAGGGCCTTGTGCATGTTCAGTGAGTATACCACTGAGTTCTACCAGTAGCCTTTTGAGTATAACAAATGCATGCATAGCAAGAATATATCCTGAAGTTCTTGCATTAATTCTAATTAGCATTTTCTTAAGAGTACTGCATTGTGCAATCTGTTCAAATTTTTAAAAAAATCATTTTATTTAGAATTTGCCGGGGCTGGGGAGATGTCTTAGTAGAATAAGCGCTTGCCTGGCAAGCGCAAGGGCCTGAGTTCAATCTCCAGTTCCACCAAAAAAAAAAAAAAAAGAATTTGCCATACTCAGGACAGGACTGAGGAACAAAACTATTTCTATATTAAGAGTGTCAAACATTTTATAGTTTGTTCATTTTCACACAAATGGTATACATGATTTTAGGGAAGTTGTTTGCTTTAGCATGCAACTTTAAATCTTGGTTAGACTAAGCGCTTGGTTAATGTTCTGTATCTTACATTTGAAGTAAAAGAATGAATGTCCCAGTTGAGATTTACATTCTTAAAAAGTGACCCCAGGGGCCAGCCAGATAGCTCAGTGGACTAAAGCACCTGCTTAGGCAGAGTGCAGGGGCCAGGGCTCAATCCCCAGAGTGCCATGTGGGTCCCATCCCCGGGGTCTGCTGAGATAGCGATTGAGATTGCATGTGGTGGCATGTGCCTGTAATCCCAGTGCTTGGGAGGCTGAAAACAGGAGAATCATTATAAATTCAGTCTACATAGTGAGACCCTGTAGACCCTGTACCAAATACATAAAAAATAAATAAATAAATATTTTTTTAAAAGTACCCCCAAAGGCTTACGTGTTTAGAGGTGGAGCTTTAAGAAAGTGATTAGATCATCATAGGTGAAGGTGCTGTGAGGTGGTGGGGCCTGGTTGGAGAACATAGGTCACTAGGGTAGTGACACAGAAGGATGTATTCTTGTCCTAGACCCTTCCCTTCTCACTAGCTTTGTCATTCTGTTTACAGACCTGGTTAAATTCACCTTACCTTCCAGAGCCTCTGGGGCAGTGAGCACCAAGGCATCTTAGTTGGGATCTTCTGCCTCAAGACTTAGAGCCATCAGGGTGTCACCGGGGCCAGAAGCTCAGCTATGGACCCACTCAAGAGGTCCTGCCTTCAGACCCACCCACCTCACTTGTAGTGGACCTCAGTTCTTAGAGGGCAATTGAGGGACCTAATTCCTCACTGGTCAAGGACCTCCCAAGTTCCCTGCCATACCTGCCTTTCCACCAAGTCCCTCACAACATGGTACCAGCTCCCATCAGAGAGAACAACCAGGGATGTCCAACAAGGAAAGAAGGGAGACAATCTCTTTGCAATCTAAACTTAGAAGTCAAGTCCTGTCATTTTTGCCATAAGCTACTTATGTTAGTCAAACCCACACTCAAGTCAGGTATGGAGAGGCAGAAGAATCACAAGTTCAAGGCCATCCTGAACTATATAGCAAGAGCCTGTCTCAAATTCCACACTCAGGGCCTGGGGAGATAGCTCAGTAGAATAAGCGCTTGCCTTGCAAGCGCAAGGCCCCAAGTTCAATCCTCAGTACTGCAAATATATATATATATATAAAATATGTAATATATATTAATATATTATAATATATAATAATATATATTATAAAATTAAACTCCATACCCAGAGGAAGAAGATTACAAAGACCAGAAAATTTGGGTTACTAGGGACCATCTATGGCTGGGTATCAGTCAACTCAGTAAGGTGATTCCTATTTAAAAATGCGGTGGGGTGGGGGGTGATAGCTCAGTGGGATAAGTGCTTGCCTGGCAAGTGCAAGGTCCTGAGTTTGATCCCTGGTACCACCAAAATAAATAAATAAAAATGCAACATTGGGCTGAGGAAATAGCTTGGCAGCCTAAGCACCAGCCTGGCAAGTGCAAGGACCTAAGTTCTATCCCTGGTACCATAGGCCATGCTGGCCACCCAAACTGGGCATGTTAGCATGCACACCGGTAATACCAGCCTTAGGGAGGCTGAGACAAGAGGATCACTATGATTCTAAACTAGGTAATGAGACCATGTATGAATATATGAAAAAAAATTAAAATAAGTAAAATTGCAACATTCCAGATACAGTGGAGCATCCCTGTAAGCCCAGCCTTGAACCTTACTTTTTAAAGCCCTGTTGCAGATTTGCATTATATTTTCTTTTCAAAGAGTGCATGCAGCATGGTATGATGGCACATACCAGTAATCCCAGCACTTAGCAGGCTGAGGCAGGAGGACTGTTTGAGGCCAGCCTGAGCTACACAGTGAGACCCTGCCTCAAAAAGCCCAAACCAAAAAAGTGCATGCAGTTTAATGTGTGCAAAGTAGTCATTCACTTGTAGTCAGACTACCAGAAACCTGGTAACCATTCTGTGAAGTATGAAATTAGTCAAAAGAATGTTTAGGAGTCCATAAAACATACAAATCCTTTACCAGGTTTTATAAGAAAAATGCAGACTTTCTGGGAAATTAAGATAAAAGGATTTACTCTTCCAAATATTAATACTAAAGCTAGCTTGTAGGGCTGGCCTGATAGCTCCGCAGACTAAAGTGCCTGCTTGGGCAGAGCACAGCGGTGGGGGTTGGATCCCCAGCATGCCTTGACAGCCCCACCCCTAGGATGCACTGAAATAGCAATTGAGACTGGGTGTGGTGGCAAGTGCCTGTAATCCCAGCTCTTGGGAGGCTGAAAACAGGAGATTCACTGCAAGTCTGATCTATGTAATGAGATCCCGTAGACCCTGTCTTAATTACAGAAAAAAAAGAAAAAAGAAAAGCCAGTTTGGTATGGCATGAAAATAGAAGGAAGCCTATTATTAGACAAAAGGAAGGGAAAAGGGGGGAAGGAAGAGGATCTAGGAAAATAAGACGAACATGATGAAAATACATGCTTGGGGTCCAACATTTTGTAATTAATAGGTGCTCATAGTAAAAGGAAAAAAAAAGGTTTGGGATGGAGGACAGTGATTAGTCTAACTCAAAAGGATGTATCATAATATTTGTTCCTCCCATAAATTTACAAAAAAAAAAAAAAGTCAGCACTTTGAGATTTCTTGCTTCATGACCTGTAGATCTATTACCCTAGGAACTGCTATTAACTAAGTTGATGACTTTTTTGGGGGGCATGTAGATTATGTAAACATTTTGAGGCTTAAAAAAAGAAAGTCCACATTATAAAGAACCATGTAATCTCCCAAATGGGAAGGAATTTAACTTGCTTATTTATAATGTTATCCCTTCTTTGAATTTGTTCTAATGAAATACAAGTATACAATTAGTGCAAAATGTGGCCCACAGTAAAGGAGTATAAAGGATTGTTTTAGTTTATTGGGAATAATCAGTGTTCCATCTCCTCCTCTCACCTAATTGTTGTAGCCAAATTATGATTTCCTTCTTTTCCATCTGAAATTGCCTACAGGGTTACTTTTCATGATTTTGCTTTTCAAGACATGGGAATAAAGTAGATTTCAGGATAATCGTACAACTAGGAATCAAAGCAATTGCAAAGAACAGGCAGAGAGAGGAATAGATTCTTCTCATCCATACTCTATAATCTACAATTCTGAGAACAAAGTCAGATGGGATTTTTGTTAGGTTCTTTCCACGATGCCACCTTAAAAGCTTCCAGACTGGAAGGAAAGAAAGAGAGAGCATGAGCAAGTAAGCTTCTAGGTTGAGAAGGAAAAAA